AGGATTTTGTACTTGAGAAAAGAATTAATAGATGATAATAATGTAAAGTTTATCCTTGAAGGTGTTAGATTTATGATCATGTGAATTCTAAATTTTGATCGTATTGTAAAATGAGTTTATTCAAAAGTATAAAATGGGAGATTATAAAACCTAATCATACGAATCGCTCGAGGATTAGTAGATAAAGTTTATTGAAAAGTTAATTTTTAAATGATAAATGGAATTTGGGTAGAATTAAATTTTATTATGAAGAAAAAAGCTTACTTTAAATAAAACTTCCGATCCAAGCCGAAAAAGGAACTTTTTTTTAAAAAAAAAAAAAAAAAATTATGGACCCAGTATAAAGAAAAGAAAATAAGTGCAAGATTTTTTTTTTTTTGAAAAAGAAAAATAATTCGATCTTTGTTTCCGAACAGATCGAGCCAAACTAAATCCGAGAAAATTGGGTTGTCCGCATTCAATTATGACTTAAAAAAATCTGCGCCATAAAGAATTTAATTTAATACCTACAGAATTACATGTAACACAAGAAACAAATATGTTAAATTTCCTTTGGAAAGTTGGAGTATGCAGATCTTCACCTTTTATTTTTTTAGATCCTAAAAGTTACAATTTAGTCGGTTCGAAATCAAAAAAAATTTTGCACTTTATTTGATTTGTAAATATTAAATAATAAAATTAAAATTTTATAAATTAAAATAATTGGTTGCTTTTAGAAAGGAAATATAACTTTTACAGTTGCGGAATGTATATACTGCATATCAATGGATCACTAACGTTGACGATTCTTATTTCCCTTGATTTAGTAATTGTCGATATCTGTTCATTATATATTCACCACCATTTCACGTCTAAGTATTTCGATAGTATTATCTAAACTTGCATCTGGAATTTAAAGACAAATAAAATAGAAGTTCTTCTAATAGAAGTTATTAATGCGAGTATTATTTTGTAGGAGCTTTGAAATTAAAAAAAAATGAAAAAAATTATTAAAGATTTAGTTTAATATATTGACATTGCGAAAGTGCAAAGCGCCGATGTTGAGTCTACATTAATTAATTAATTTTTAGCGTCTTAGTTACTTCATTAATCTTTAATTAAACCTTCTGATACAAAATTAAACGAAAGAACTGAGTATAGAAACTCATCTGAGGTTTGATTCTAATTTTGTAGAATAGATATGTTGTAGCCCAAATGCGTTAAGATTCAAAATGATGGGATATTTCATTTGCGAAGATCGATTCGGATATGCGCTTGCCCATTGTCCCAAATGTACATTTCGGATATCACAAATGCCCATCCCAAATGAATTAATTCCCAAATGAAATGACCACTTCATGTTTGATTTATTTTAAATGTAAAGATTATTTATAAATTAATTAATGGATTATTAACCTCCTTTTAAAGAATCTTATTTCCCTCGAATTCATTCACCATTACACGTCTAAATATTTCTATAGTATATGAATAGTCACCTCTACTAGGAATCGAAAAACAATATTTTGGTCGGTCATAAACTTGCATTTGGAGTTTAAATACAAAAAATAAAAAGTTCTTCTAAAACTATTTTGTAGAGAAAAGCTTTGACAATTAATAAATTTAAATTAAATAATTATAGCTTTATAATTACTTCAATAATCTTAATTATAAATAGGAACGAAAAGAACTGGAATAAACGGCAGAATATGAGGTTTGATTCTATTTTGTAATGTGCGTCGATCTCGAGTCGTAAGTGTTTCATATGATGATCCGAAATCAAACACGTTAATGTTCTAATGAATGTTTTTACTTTGAAATTTTCTATATTTATTTTTTTTTTTAACAATAGATTTGAATATTGAACGAGACACAAAAAAAAAAAAAATTCTGTTGTAATATTATATATAAAAGTGATATTCCGATATCGTACAGAGATCGACTGTTCCGAGATCGACTTTTCCGAGATCGACAAGAAATTAAAATATTTGATTAAAAAAAAATAAATAAACAAAAAGAATTAGAATAACGAATGGTTTAAGGCATGTGGTCTCCCTGAACTTTTCAAGGTTAATATACAGTATATAAGGTCTACCTGATTTTTCGACAAGGGAAAAAAATAAGATATTTCACTCATGAAGAATACATTATTATACATTCTATTACATTTTTCATCGGCAGTTCTTGCTGATTGGATCACTGTAGAACATGCTTTTAAAATGTGTGACGTAGACGTACCATCTGTTGCTGCGGCGCTCCATATTGACGATGATGGCGTTACGTATTCGACGTCACTTTTAGTCAGGAATGTTGAAACTGTAAAGCATGAGCCACCCTTAACAACGCTTAACGTCACTATGTGGGGGTGTACCTATGATTGTCACTTTAGCTTTATGTTGAATATAAACAGGGATGATCTTTCAGTTTCATCGTATACCGATAAAAACCTTAATAACTACAAATGTAATTTTAGTAATTACACGATGAAACTTCTTCCGACTCCTAAAATTGCATATAAGCACAAAACACCTAACCCAGATCATGTATTTCCAACTCATCTAACTGCACAGTATTGCAGTGCAGGCATACATCCTGATGCACCCAATTGGCCAATTAATAAAACAAACAGTGTAGCCGAATGCATCGATAATTTGACCGGTCATGAAGTTGGAACATACGCTGCATCTCTTCAGTTCGGTACAGGTAGCTCGTTCAAACCTGACGGTTATGGTGTTGCTACATATCACATGATTAATTCGGCAAACAAGCTATTCAATTATTGGGAGAGTCATCATCGAGGGTTCCATGAAGCCCTTAATGAACTAAGTATGAAAATGACTACCAAAAATCTAGTAGAATTGAAACCACCACCGCCGCCACCGCCTAAAAAAAACATGCTTCTAGAAATCATTGGTTTAGTCTCTGGCATTGTTCTTTTAGCTGTATCTTTTTCTATATCGGCACCTTTAGTTATCGAAGAAGCAGCAGTAGCGGCAGGTGAGGTCGTGGAAACAACCGTCGTCGAAGTCTCCGAAACTGCTGCCGAAATTAGTGCTGCAGATGAAACTATAGCTGATCCAGCTGTAGGAACG